TCATACCATGTTTGGTTTCATTCCATTCAGTGGTTCTCTAAAAGAAGATATTTGTATGTATTTCCCATAGGGTCCTATGTTAAACTAAGTCCCCCGCTGGCAGCCATCTTGGATTATGGATCGGCTTCAAAGTAACAACACTCGGTCAGCACCTCATAAGAAACATTCATGCCATGTTTGGTTTCATTCCTTTCAGTGGTTCTCTAAAAGAAGACATTTGTATGCATTTCCCATAGGGTCCTATGTTAAACTAAGTCCCCCGCTGGCGGCCATCTTGGATGATGGATCCGCTACAAAGTAACAACACTCGGTCAGCACCTCATAAGAAACATTCATGCCATGTTTGGTTTCATTCCATTCAGTGGTTCTCTAAAAGAAGACGTTTGTATGTATTTCCCATAGGGTCCCATGTTAAACTAAGTCCCCCGCTGGCAGCCATCTTGGATGATGGATAGGCTTCAAAGTAACAACACTCGGTCAGCACCTCATAAGGAACATTCATGCCATGTTTGGTTTCATTCCATTCAGTGGTTCTCTAAAAGAAGACATTTGTATGTATTTCTCATAGGGTCCCATGTAAAACTAAGTCCCCTGCAGGCGGCCATCTTGGATTATGGATCGGCTTTAAAGTAACAACACTCGGTCAGCACCTCATAAGAAACATTCATGCCATGTTTGGTTTCATTCCATTCAGTGGTTCTCTAAAAGAAGACATTTGTATGTATTTCTCATAGGGTCCTATGTTAAACTAAGTCCTCCGCTGGCGGCCATCTTAGATTATGGATCAGCTTCATAGTAACAACACTTGGTCAGCACTTCATAAGGAACATTCATGCCATGTTTGGTTTCATTGCATTCAGTGGTTCTCTAAAAGAAACATTTGTATGTATTTCCCATAGGGTCCTATGTTAAACTAAGTCCCCCGCTGGCTGCCATCTTGGATGATGGATCAGCTTCACAGTAACAACACTTGGTCAGCACCTCATAAGGAACATTCATGCCATGTTTTGTTTCATTCCATTCAGTGGTTCTCTAAAAGAAGACATTTGTATGTATTTCCCATAGGGTCCCATGTTAAACTAAGTCCCCCGCTGGCGGCAATCTTGGATTACGGATCGGCTTCAAAGTAACAACACTCGGTTGGCACCTCATAAGGAACATTCATACCATGTTTGGTTTCATTCCATTCAGTGGTTCTCTAAAAGAAGATATTTGTATGTATTTCCCATAGGGTCCTTTGTTAAACTAAGTCCCCCGCTGGCAGCCATCTTGGATTATGGATCGGCTTCAAAGTAACAACACTCGGTCAGCACCTCATAAGAAACATTCATGCCATGTTTGGTTTCATTCCTTTCAGTGGTTCTCTAAAAGAAGACATTTGTATGCATTTCCCATAGGGTCCTATGTTAAACTAAGTCCCCCGCTGGCGGCCATCTTGGATGATGGATCCGCTACAAAGTAACAAGACTCGGTCAGCACCTCATAAGAAACATTCATGCCATGTTTGGTTTCATTCCATTTAGTGGTTCTCTAAAAGAAGACGTTTGTATGTATTTCCCATAGGGTCCCATGTTAAACTAAGTCCCCCGCTGGCAGCCATCTTGGATTATGGATCGGCTTTAAAGTAACAACACTCGGTCAGCACCTCATAAGAAACATTCATGCCATGTTTGGTTTCATTCCATTCAGTGGTTCTCTAAAAGAAGACATTTGTATGTATTTCCCATAGGGTCCAATGTTAAACTAAGTCCCCTGCTGGCGGCCATCTTGGATTATGGATCAGCTTCATAGTAACAAGACTTGGTCAGCACCTCATAAGGAACATTCATGCCATGTTTGGTTTCATTCCATTCAGTGGTTCTCTAAAAGAAGACATTTGTATGTATTTCCCATAGGGTCCCATGTTAAACTAAGTCCCCCGCTGGCGGCAATCTTGGATTATGGATCGGCTTCAAAGTAACAACACTCGGTCAGCACTTCATAAGGAACATTCATACCATGTTTGGTTTCATTCCATTCAGTGGTTCTCTAAAAGAAGACATTTGTATGTATTTCCCATAGGGTCCTATGTTAAACCAAGTCCCCCGCTGGCGGCCATCTTGGATGATGGATCCGCTACAAAGTAACAACACTTGGTCAGCACCTCATAAGAAACATTCATGCCATGTTTGGTTTCATTCCATTCTGTGGTTCTCTAAAAGAAGACATTTGTATGCATTTCTTATAGGGTCCTATGTTAAACTAAGTCCCCCGCTGGCGGCCATCTTGGATGATGGATCCGCTACAAAGTAACAACATTTGGTCAGCACCTCATAAGGAACATTCATGCCATGTTTGGTTTCATTCCATTCAGTGGTTCTCTAGAAGAAGTTCAAAATGTAAAAAAGTTAACGCCGACAACGGACGACGACGGACGACGCCGGACGACGACGGACGACGCCGGACGACGACGGACGACGACGGACGACGCCGGACGACGACGGACGACGCCGGACGACGGCCGACGGACGCCAAGTGATGAGAAAAGCTCACTTGGCCCTTCGGGCCAGGTGAGCTAACAAGTTCACCAGAATTAATCGAAAACTTCCAGAAAAAGCTACTAATAAGCTTATACTCTCATTACCAACTTATGTAGCAGATGTTACTATCAACATCCTAAACGGAATACTACCAGTAGAAGCCCAACTACATATCCGAGTACTTGGACTATTGAACAACATCTGTAATCAGCCCGAAAAAAGCATAGATAAATTGCTAGCTGACGACAACTTAAACTGAAAAATAGCCAAAGTTCTAGTTGCGTGTCGCTATAAAACATATGCCCAAGAAGTACGATCTACAAAATGGTACATGGACAACACCATCAAAAAAATATTATGGACGTCAACATCAAGAAAACAGTACAGAGCTACTAGTCTAAGAGTAACTTCAGTAAATAGCAACACTGTATTCTAGCTTCGAAGGCCGTACGGTGACCTATAGTTGTTAGTTTAAACATTTTATTGTTCAAAAATGACAAATGGATTAGACACAAGTTTTTCAACTTAGTAACGTCTTCTATTGTTGTCAATTTCTGTGTCATTTGGTCTCTTGTGGAGAGTTGTCTCATTGGCAATCATACCACATCTTCGTTTTAATTTCCAAAACGACGAGTGTAAAAAAAAGAGCAAATATGCAAACATACAGCCTGATTTATATTTACAACAAAAACAAAATGAAATACAGGAACAAAGACTCAATGACACAATATGTCATGACGGAGGAAGGCACATGCATTTTTGGAAGGGGCTAAAAAAAGGTCTAGTGCCAAACCATACCTTAAACTGAAACTGTACACATGGGATAAGACCGAAGTCAGAACTTAAAGTAAAAGTTTGTTGAAAAGGGTCCATGGTTCCGTTTCACAAAGCCTTCGTAAGTCTACGTGTCATCGTACGTTCATCGTAAATAAATCGTAGGTTTTACAGCCGTTTCAAAAAGCCGTCGTAAGTTAAGTTGAGCGTAAATAATACGTAAATCCTGGCGTAACTTACTACAGCTATACCCAGTCGTATACCGATCGTAGTTTTTCCGCGAATATGAATTACACCATATCTAAGATGGTTTATTCTCGAACAAGATGCCGCAAATGTTAGAAGACGAAGAAGAATCTTCAATATTAGAACCACACTTTCTTCGTTTGATCATTTTGAAAATGAAATGGATATTATATCCAGATACAGACTGGATAGACACAGTATCAATGAAATAACATTGGCAATAGAAACCAGATATAAAACATGATACAAATGGGTCCCATGCACTTACTCCTGAAACGCAGGGTACCGTTTCACAAAGCCTTCGTAAGTCTACGTGTCATCGTACGTTCATCGTAAATAAATCGTAGGTTTTACAGCCGTTTCACAAAACCGTCGTAAGTTAAGATGAGCGTAAATAATACGTAAATCCTGGCGTAACTTACTACAGCTATACCCAGTCGTATCTCGATCGTAGTTTTTCCGCGAATATGAATTAAACCATATCTAAGATGGCTTTATTCTCGATCAAGATGCCGCAAATGTTAGAAGACGAAGAAGAATCTTCAATATTAGAACCACACTTTCTTCATTTGATCATTTTGAAAATAAAATGGATATTATATCCAGATACAGACTGGATATATATATATAGAGACACATTATCTATGAAATAACATTGGCAATAGAACCAGATATAAAACATGATACAAATAGGTCCCATGCACTTACTCCTGAACCGCAGGTTTTGTTAGCTTTGCGCTACTCACTGGTTCTCCAGTAAATTGCCCATTTTATGACGCTGATTTGTCCCACCGTAACAAAGCAAAACTAACGACTTCGAGTTATATACCCGTAGCTTGTTATACTTATATCTGAGATTTTTATATTTCTTTATTATCTATATTTTTAATTTTTATAAAGTTTAGTACATATTGCACAAATATAGTGATCGTACCGGCCGTCATAATGTTTTCTTCGTAAACATGTAATTCCCGTTAACGGATAGAAGACCAAGCAAGACTAAATATTTAGCACAACATAGAGTGTGATATGAGTTAAATTTGATTATAAGGTTACCATAAATATTTTTGTTAAATGGTCATTTATTCCAAATCATATCAGTCTTGAAAACTAAACAAAGTTGAAAACTGCAGAGATTTGTTAAGCATGTAAAATCCGTGGAATGGTATATTCTAAACAAACACCTATTTTGAACATAAATTCTACATCCAACAGATCGATGTCGGTGTCAACATTCAATTTTAATACAACTTCTATCTTCAGATTCACGTATTGTGTTTTATAAATGACGAAATCATCGAAATATAATCTCCGTGGAATGTAATTCCCGTACACGTTTTGGTGAAGAGTGCTTTCTTTCACGTCCGCACTTCTACCGAGTATGGCATGCCAAATAAACATTTTAGATAATAATTACGGATGGCGAATATATAAATTACAGATCAATAACTTACATTGTAATTCAGACGACATAAGAAGACACCATGTGACAATTTTAATTAGTCAATTGTTTTAGTGTAACAGAGTTGCTTTTTTTCTTAGATCTACAAAAAAACACAAAAAAACGAACTGGATGTTTTTATATCAATATTAATGCAAGTAAATAATTTTAACCCGTTTTCATTATTAAAGATCTTGAAACTTTTATTATTAATATAAATTTGATACAGAATTTAATACGATTAAACAAATATGCAAGTAGTCATAAAAATTGCTCTGCCTAATGAGTTTAATAAATCATATTGCACAGGGAGAGAAGCTTTTTTAAAAATACTTCCTTTCATTAAAAATGAAATTACGACGTCGGCTGAGAGGGCATGGTATATATTGTCCGTTACATTTATTAACAACACATTGTACAAATATTCTTTTCGAAAATAAAAACAGTTAAATAGAACAAACAAAACTATCCGTCACAATGATATATGAGGGTCTGGATTAGGGGGAAAAGAGGGGGGTTTACATTTCTGTATTCTGTAATTCTTTTGGCCATCTTTCTCTATTCTGTAAGAAATATGCTTATTCTGTAAATTCTTGTGTTCAGATCGTGCATATGAAAATTTCCTGTTGTATCATGATTTTGACATGATAGATCTTTTTGTCTGTATCAACGACATATGTATGACGACACTACCCCGTGACCCCTCACCCCTGAATCTGTCACTGTACTGCATAAATGATACCATTTATCAATTTTGATTAATATGATAAAAACAAGACACGGGGGAAAACTATTTTAATTTCTTTGTAATAATTTGGATATCTGGGATAATAAGCAGTAGATAAGATGACATTAGGTATATTTGATCTTACATGTATTTGGTTTGTAATATGAGGTACTAGTACTGCAATCTAATCAAAGTACCGGTAGTAAATCGTAAAAAGTAGATTTAAGAGAAATCTGAAATCTGATAGAATAAAAATTCGATCCCTGACCTGAACTAGATATTATCCTTGATAGCCCAACTGTCCAACGTTATCGTTTGAAGTGAACAATATTTGAATCTACATCTTAAATTGATACAAAAAATCAAAATTCTCTGCTCTATAGATTTTCATAAATGGAGTCTAAAATATATCCATAACAAATGCACCGTATCAAATGCATATATGAGAACAACTACTTAAAAACTGCTACGCGTCGCATACTATGTAAAGAGACATGCATCATAAATCTAAGTTAAAAGACAAATTTAAAAAAAAAGGAATTCTAAAAGCTTTCTTTGACAAATTTTATACTAACTTCATTTTAACAAGTTTAAATTACATTTTCTAAAATAGAGCTAAGAACTGTTTGTAATGTTGTAAATTTAATTCGTTTGAAATTTTTATTCAAATACGCTGTTGAAGATAACTAAGCGCCACTTGTATTTTATAAATTAGTGTCTTCGATAATGAAAAATTCGTCATCGAACAGTCTCATTATCATGTCGGTATTCGAAATGACTCGTTTCATTGTTATTACAAAAAATAGGTCATAATAACATGACAGAGTTTTTTTGCTTCAGAATGTTCTAGATAAATATACAAAAAGCAAATTTTAGACAATGTACCCTCATAAGCCTGGAAGTGGCTAGTCACATATAGTTAACGGCGTTTTTCTCACAATGATGTTCTACCTCCATAAGCCTGGAAATGTCGTGGCGGGTCACATATAATCAATCCTTCTGACTTCATAAATTTTGTTAGAGAGTCGGCTGAATTAAGACGTTATATGATGAAAATTAATTAATTTCCTTCCGTGAAAATGCATCGCATGTACAATAGAAATGAATCGCCCCTACAGTGAAAATGAAAGTCTAGTATCATTATTCGACAGTAAACATGAATCGCATAACGAAAACAGCATAGTGGAATTTAATTCAATATCAACAAGCTGAATAACAAAACCTGTTTTAAGTTATACAACATTAATAATTATGTTAAAAGGTATACATTTTTCTGCAAATGAAACTTAACTACTGCTTTTAAATCTCTTGCACGCTCTGTTCGTGAACTATTCTTAATATTTATCTATTTGTGTATCAATTGTACACCTGGATGGCTGTAGGCGCGATGAAAACCCGTCCGCATCTCATACCTAAATCATGAATTTATAAAAACAGTACACATTATATCTTATTTCTTATTCTATTCAAAAATCATGAATTTGTCTTCTGTTTATTTATCATTCTACATTAGAAATTCATAACGGATACAGTGAAAATGGTATTTCAGGATTCACGCATAATATACACTGGTTTTGTTTATTTTTATTGGACTTTCGTTTAATTCTTTTTCAACGACAACGCATGCAATTTCTTATTTCTTGTTTGAAAATTCTTCTCTTGGTCATAAATCTGCTTGAAATATTTGCCACTGTACGTTCAGAAAACAGCAATCAATCAATCATATCTCCTCTAAAATTGCAGTACTATAATAACTTTAGACATTATCAAATAATTGTTAAAAAAATCGTTTAATCCTTTGATCAGATACAAACGCGTCTCGTCACTCTCCTATTATTTCAAATGTCCGATACAAAGAAAAAAAGTATTATTGAATATCAAAGGAAGTAACCCATCAAAGATACAAGGCTTGTGTTTCGTCTACAAATGAAAAACATACGAACACACCCACTCACCTGATTCGCTCGTCCTCACAAATATAAAAATTCAAAATATAAAAACAATTATATACAAAATAAAGGATAAGGTCACCCCGGATGCCGCACAAATGCCAAGGCAACGAACGAGAAACCGGAAAGGACATACAGCTAAAACCCTCAGACATCAAATAGATTGGTCTGATAGTTTCCCACATGGAAACTACTAATGGATTCCATCTGACCACATGTCTCAAACAAACCTGAAAATATCTGCAGAAACTTTCCTCAACAAAAAAATATAATCCAAAACATAAAATATAAGATGTAAGGATAACAATATTTATCCATGAAACCAATTTGGCAAAACAATTTCAATGATGTTGAAGGATTCTCTCTGCAAACATTTTCACGTCCGCTCTCATCGGCGTACTCGACTCATCGATCTGTGAAAGAAGAGTGTGCCATATTCCGATGCAAATAAACTACGATTCACGCCTCCTGTTTACAGCTAGAGTTCCGTTTTACGATACACTTACGATGATACACAGTGCGTAACTTGCGATCAACTTAGTAGTCCTTTACGATGCCTTTGGGAAACACACGTAACGGGAACGTAGAACCACACGTAAACGGATCGTAAAATGATACGGTGATCGTAAGTTAAGAAGGCTTTGTGAAACGGTGGCCAGATCAACACAATACAGACAAAAAAAATATACCAATAAATAGGACACAAAAGAACGATCTGATAGTACTAGCATTTTATAACCTAGTTCAACATGTTCAAAGTCAGTAAACTTTGATATATCATACAGAGTGGTGATAGATATGCAGAGTGGTGGTAGATGTACAGAATGATGATATATAAACGAAGTGGTGATAGATATACAGAACGGTGATAGATATACAGAGTGGTAGTAGATATACAGAGTGTTGATAGATATAAAGAGTGGTGGTAGATATACAGAGTGGTGATAGATATACAGAGTGGTGATAGATATACATAGTGGAGATAGATATGCAGAAAGGTGGTAGATATACAGAGTGGTGATAGATATACAGAGTGGTGATAGATATACAAAGTGGTGATAGATATACAAAATAGTGATATATAAACGAAGTGGTGATAGATATACAGAATGGTGATAGATATACAGAGTGGTGATATATATACAGGGTGGTGGTAGATATACAGGATGGGTATATATATACAGAGTTGTGATATATATACACAGTGGTGATAGATATACAGAGTGGAGATAGATATGCAGAGTGGTGATATATATACAGAGTAGTGATAGATATACAGAGTGGGGGTAGATATACAGAGTGGTGGTAGATATACAGAGTGGTGATATATATACAAAATGGTGATAGATATATAAATTGGTGATAGATATGCAGAGTGGTGGTAGATATACAGAGTGGTGGTAGATATACAGAGTGTTGAAAGATATACAGATTGGTGATATATATACAGAGTAGTGATAGATATACAGAGTGGTGATAGATATGCAGAGTAGTGGTAGATATACAGAGTGGTGATAGATATACAGAGTGGTGGTAGATATACAGAGTGGTGATAGATAAACAAAGTGGTGATAGATATATAAAGTTGTGATAGACATGCAGAGTGGTGGTAGATATACAGAGTGGTGGTAGATATACAGAGGGGTGATAGATATACAGAGTAGTGATAGATATACAGAGTGGTGATAGATATACAGAGTGGAGATATATAACGTGGTGAGAGATATGCAGAGTGGTGGTAGATATACAGAGTGGTGGTAGATATAAAGAGGGATGGTAGATATACAGAGTGGTGATAGATATACAAAGTGGTGATAGATATACAGAGTGGAGATAGATATGCAGAGTGGTGGTAGATATACAGATTGGTGATAGATATACAAAGTGGTGAAAGATATACAGAGTGGTGGTAGATATACAGATTGGTGATAGATATACAAAGTGGTGAAAGATATACAGAGTGGTGATATATAAACGAAGTGGTGATAGATATACAGAATGGTGATAGAAATACAGAGTGGTAGTAGATATACAGAGTGGTGATATATAAACGAAGTGGTGGTAGATATACAGAGTGGTGATAGATATACAAAGTGGTGATAGATATACAGAGTGAAGATAGATATGCAGAGTGGTGATAGATATACAAAGTGGTGATAGATATACAGAATGTTGGTAGATATACAGAATGGGGACAGATATAGAGTGATGGTATATATACAAAGTGAGGATAGATATACAGAGTGGTGATAGATATACAAAGTGGTGATAGATATACAGAATGTTGGTAGATATACAGAATAGGGACAGATATAGAGTGGTGGTATATATACAAAGTGAAGATAGATATACAAAGTGGTGATATATATACAGAGTGGTGATAGATATACAGAGTGGTGGTAGATTAACAGAGTGGCGATATATATATACAGAGTATTGATAGATATACAAACGAAAGATATAGTGGAAATAGATATACAGAGTGGTGATAGATATACAGAGAAGTGATAGATATACAGAGTGGTGATAGATATACAGAGTAGTAATAGTTATAGTAGGAACTTGTTGAATGTCTTATAGTGATGGCAAATACATGTTGAATGTCCTATATCTAAAGCAGGTACTTGTTGAATATCCTATTGGTATAGTAGGTACTTGTTGAATGTTCTATATAGTAGTATATAACAGGTACGTGTTGAATTCCTATTGTTATACTAGGAACTTGTTGAATGTTCTATACATATAGCAGTTCCTTGGTGAATGTCCCAAAGCTATAGCAGGTACTTGTTGAATGTCCTATAGTCATAGATGGTACTCGATGAATGTCCTATTGATTTCCCGTGTTGGTTATGGTTACCAGAAGTAGAGGTATGCATGGTATCTAAAATTACCCATAGCACTAGATCAGTAAACGTTTTTATGCATTAAGGTAGAAAGTGTCTGGTTTGTCACAACGACCACCTGAACTATTACCGGCTGTCGGCCATGATAATAGAGGTAGAGATAGAGTTGGGCATTGACCTCTAAAATGGACCAAATCATTTATACATTTAAAAATTATAAACCAAATTCATGAAAGAATCCCACACAGTGATTTTTTTCTGAGACTTATTTTTCGACATTCCAATACACTATGACAGCATGTTTTTTTTTGGTCTCGTAAACACCACAAAGGACCTACTTTGAGCACAAAAAAACACAATGTAGCAGAAAGGACCACAAAGGACCTTATAATCACTGTTTTATAAGGAAATAGTATTTTTTAAATCTGTATTTCAGAAATGTCAATATATGATTTGCTTTATTAAATTTTATTTTGGACAAAAACAAAGAATCTACAGAAATGTTCTTACTTTATGAATGTTAATTTGCTGTGAGGAACAAAAAGTGCACATGGTGCAATAAA